GGGGGCAGTGGGTGCTGCACACACCTGCACCCAGACTCAGCCATTCCAGAGCACTTTGCAAAGCCATCCATCACAGCCTGCAGCACTGGGGCTGCTCTGCCAAGCTGCATTTCATCACTGGTCCACCGTGCCAGGCTCTGCCCTGCTCTTTTACCTTGTTTATAAACACTCCCAGCCTTTCATCCCAGTCACCTTCTGCCTGGGAAACAAATCCTGGCACTCAGTGCTGAGAACTTCGGGGCTTTAACATCAGCTCTTACTCTGTGGGCTCCTGGGGGTTTGCTGGATTTTGTTCTGGTGATTCCGTTGCTGGTTTGTGTCATTTGGTGTTCAAAAATTGCTCGTTCTAAGGATTATTCCCAGCTGTTCATATCACAGAATGTGCTTGTCAATCAGGCATTGCTTGAGGCTCTCACGAGGGCTCTCCTGCCAAATGATGCCATCATCTCCTCCATGACTAAATTCCACCTCTTTGTGATGCCATGTGAGCATGTGAGAATTTCTCTCTCTCTCTTTTTTTTTTTTTTTTATGAGGAAGGTGAGGAGCAAGCTGTCTGTAAACTCTTCTGGAAGTCTGCAGGGATTCAGAATCCTTTCAGTGCCTCTCTGGGTGGCAGATGTTCACAGCACAGCCCTCAGAGACAGGAGCACCTGCTCTAATGGAAAATAAAAGAAAGAGCTTTTTCCATTTGCCGAGGGAGAGCCATCCATCAGAGCAGTGGGACCAAAGTGCTCCCAGCAGCTCCTTCTCTTCCCAGTGTGTAAGGAATTGTCCATTGAACACGGCTCAAACAGGGGTGATGCACCTCCAGAAAGTGCTGGAAGGAGGAGAGCTGACTGGCAACAAAGGAAACTATTAAAATGAAAGCATTAAGCAGTGACAATTAGTGAGCTGAAGTGCTACTGCCAATGATAATGTCTTCAACCTAATTAAATTTTTGGCTCATTGAATATGACAAATACAAATGCAGTTTGGGTGTCTCCTTATTAGAGTCAGGTTTTAGACTAAAAATAACATGGGATTGAATGCTGCCAATGAGGGCATTAATGAGGAGCTCTAATCTTGTGGAGGCCATAGTGGCAGTAATGGCAGTGCTTTCCCTGCTGCAGATGCTGAGCCCTGCACAGAGGCTCCAGGCCAGGCTGGGATTGCTCAGCCACATTCCAGCCACATTTGGGAAGGAGCATTAAAATATTAAAAGGATGTAAAGCATAGCTGCAGAGAGGAGGCTGCTCTGCAAAACAAGAGAAACAAGGACAAATAGCAGCAGGTGTAAACTGATGGAAAAATCAAACGTCTTGAGGTTTCCTGTGGTGGGAGGGAGGTGCAGAGCAGTGGGTCAGAGCTGCTTTCAGTGGGTCTGGGAGCTCTCACAGCAGCTCCAGCCCTGCCTGCCAGGCTCTGTGCAGGAGCCACAGCCACCCTGAGCTGGGTCTGATGAAGGGAGAGCCCCTGCACTGCTGCTTCTGTCCTTGGCTGTGTCCTGAGAGAGCTGTCCCAGGTGGGAATGGTGCTCTGTGTGCCCCTGCTCCCTCCAGAGGAACAGCAGCTCTGATATTTGTGTTAGGAAGGGCAGCAAGACAAAACCTATGGGTACAAAATACACAGGGAACACTTCATTGCTAAGAGGTGATGGTTTTTCTGAGTTTAAAGATTAAACAGTTTCCATTAGAGAGTCGTGTTTATTTCCACATCTGAATGTCAGGGTAGAATAAGGTTTTGTGTCCTAATAACCAGACTAAAGCCTGGTCATTAAATCCCTGTGATGGAACCTTGCTGTGAGCACAACAGGATCAGTGCTGGAGGTGAAGGGAGCAGAGAAGGGGACACACTGAGCTCCTCCTGATTTCTCCTGTAGGATGGGAATGTGCAGGAGCTGGTGCTGTGCTCCTGCCCCGTGGCTGGATCAGCTCCCTGGCCCCAGCTCCCAGTCCAGGGCAGTGCTGCAGGTGGGATCTGTCTGCAGGGTCTCAGGACAAGCCAGGATTGACCCAGCGTTTAATGGGAGCAGAGCTCTGCTGGCCCCATGGCTGAGGCTGGGTGGCTCCTGTGGGTGTCACTGGTGCCAGCTCTGGTGCTGTCACCAGGATGGTGCTGGGACACCTGAGAGCAAAGCACCCTGCTGTCTGCACCCCCTAATGCCACAGGCTCTGGAGCAGAGCTTGTCTCCTTTCCTTCTAGAATTATAATAACCAAAGCTCCAGCGTTTGAAAATCCATAGCTTTGAAGTTCACATTAATTTGTTTTTCAAATGTCCTAGCTGGATTTAGTTTTCCATCTTTAATATCAGATTTTAAGCCATGAAAGTGCAGGTGGGGGGACGGGGCTGTGAGTCACAGCTTGTGCCTGGTTCCAGAGTCACAATTAAACGCTGCTCCTTCAGCACAAAATGGGACAATTCCCTGGGAGCAGCACAGCCTCAAGAGTTTGCTTGAGCTGCTTCATTTACACCCTTGGCTCCAATTTATAATCCTGGAACTATGGGTCAGCTTTATGCAGAATAATAAGAACAAATATTATGGCTGTGGCATTGCAGAATATAAATGTTATTTAAGCATGTGCCTTGTGCAGAGCTCTGGGCAACTTGTAAATCACTGCCCAGTTTCACACAGCTCTTGGCTAAGGGTCATTTACAGATTTTCCTAATAAAGCACTCTGAAAATAAAATGAAATAAATGGAAAATACAGGTAATTACAATAAAGAAAAGGTACTCTTAGTATCAAAAATGCTTTTAAACTTTTAGGTGCTTTCTGCAGGTAAGTAATAAAATTCCATTAGCAATATTTATGTTACAGGTCTGCTGGAAATAGAAATGGAACATTTTTCCCAATTCTTTTCAATTGAAAAAGATGTGAGGCAAAAAGACATTTTAATGAAAGGAACTGTCTAAAAAGCCCTTTTCTTTTGGAGCAGTATCAGAAATAATGAAAAAGGCGGTTAAGTCAGATGGTGACTGAAAACACAAGATTGTCCCAAAATGCCAGTGCACTGTGCAGAGTGCAGCAGTGCCCCAGTGCAGAGTGCAGCAGCAATGCAGCAGGGTCACTGCAGGGGTTGCAGCTGGATTGCAGCAGGGTTGTTTCAGGGTTGCAGCCATCCCTGCAGTGCTGTTGCTGGTTCCCAGGTGCATGCATTCCTGCAGGAGGTCAGGCAGCAATGCAGCTGTTGCG